CAAGTTTGAACATTCTACCTCAATTAGAAGTAGAGTTACTGTGTTCCAAAGTCTCGGCCAATCAAATTGCTTATCGCTCTGCTTACCCTGAGCAGGAAGTACTTATTATCAAACTTAGTCAAGGTATTGTTGTGATAAAGTATCCTCACTCTCACTAAATTAGAACTAAAGTTATTATGCCCAAAAGCATCAACCAATCAAATTGCTTATCTCTGCTTAGCCTAAGCAGAAAATGCTCTTCTTCGAACTCCATCAAGGCATTGACCTCATAAACACCTACACCAAGTTTGAACATTCTAGCTCAATTAGAAGAAGAGTTATTGTGTCCCAAAAAGTGTGATGGACAGACGGACAAACCCATTTTAATTTGTGAAGATTCTGTGGACAATTTATTTTAAATGATTAGGGCGGAATATGAACCATGGCTCATATCACCCCAATTTGCATGTGCCATATTACCCCAAGTGACAAAGATTAGATACATGTAAATCAAAATTTCATAAAGATAGACCATGAGTTCTATTCCTGTTACTACAGGCTAGAGCCTAACAGTCAAAATCTAATTTGATGCTCAGAAGAGATTTTCTTTACAGGTAAATGTTTCATGAAATGGACTGATGGTCTTCAACCCCCCAAAAACTTTTAATGCAGAAAATTTTTAAAATACTGAGCTTTTTTGTGTATTTGTGTAATGTATCTGTGAACTTGTTGTGATGTGTAACACATGTTTAGAGGATTTAGAGGTCTTGGCAAGTAACATTTGAAAGAAATGTCATATGACAAGCTTGTCAGGGCTGTGGCCCATGTTACCCTCATTCCCATGTTACACCCCCCCCCCCCCTCCCCCGCACCCCCATACTTAATGATTTTAGTGTATTATAAATGTTTCATTACCAACAAAAGTAAAAATATGCGACAACTCATGTTGACTGCCTGGCAACCTATCTTTGTTGTTGCAAATGATTAGTTTATTTTATTAGGTTACATAAACTACTTAAAGATACTTTCCAGCATACAAACTGTGTGATTTGATGATATATTTGGATGTAAAACATATTCAAACCAATTAATCTATCAAACATTTGCTTCAAATCCCTCTCAAAACTTTGTATTTGCCGGGAGATACGAGCGTACCTATAGCTATAAATAAACTGTTGTTAGATGCCATGTCTGTCACCTTACTTTATTGTAGGAGGGTCCATTTTTCAGAATGTATTTATCTTTACTTACTGTCCATTTACCAAACATATTGAGCCCTACTGTCTGTTCCAAGAGATGCTCCGACTCTAAAATTTCTCGCCATGTCTTCAGTTTTTATACATCCACATTCGTGGACCTATATTTCTGTCACCCCTGTCTCTGTGTGTCGCCTACAGGCCACTATTCTTAAGTGATCATCTTGAAACTTTACATACTTATCCCTTATCCCTAAGCATGATCCATATTGTTTTTGGTGCATGCCCGTCCCCCAGGGGCAGAGCCACGCCCATTTCTTGTATTTGTTTGTCGTCTACAGGGTGCATTTTGAATGTATCATCTTGAAACTTTGCATACTTTTTCTTTGCACCCCAAGAAACATCCCTATCGTTTGGGTGCATGCCCAACCCCCAGGGGCAGAACCACGCTCATTTTCTTTTTGTGTGTCGCCTACAGGACAGAGCCACGCCAAAATTTGTGTTTATCTGAATGGATCAACTTAGTACTTGGCATACGTATTCCTTGTAGCCTAAGGGCCTCAACTATTGATTTTGGTGAATGTCTGACCCCCAGGGGCAGAGCCACGCCCAATATTTGCCTTTAGCTTCCAAAGGCCACAATTCTGAATGGATTATCTTGGAACTTGGTATACTTATTCCTTATACCCTAAGGACGGCAACTATTGATGTTGGTGCACGACCCCCTTCTCCTGCCCTTTGGGTGGTACCACACCCACTTTTTGGTGCTGTTTTGTATGTAAATGATATACGGGTTGCAATTATTAACAGATTTGGATCCAATACGGAATGATCCAGCATAGGGTTGTACCTATATATTGGTCCATGCCCAACCCCCAGGGGCAGAGCCAGGCCCAATTTTTTGTTTTTTGTCTACGGGCTGGAATTCTAAATGGGTCATTCTCTTCATTTTAAAAAGTACCATATCAATCAAAGCAGGAATGTCAATCAAAGCAGGAATGTGGACGTATATTGCAGCGTTGTCGATGCTCTTGTTAATTTAAACGGCCAAAACTTGGTGACATACCTGAAATTATCATCCCGTTGCTCTTTTAATGCCTAGAAGTTAGGTAAAATCCACTATTCTCTTGTAAAGTTCACATATTTCGACATTGTTTCATTCTCAGAATATAAACATTAAGGATGCGTCTGCGTAAATTGGAAGACTTGCATTTCGTGTAAAGGGTAGACAGGAATCTCCAAATCGGGTACATTTGGTTAGAAATATTTAGTGAAGAAAATTCGCCCGTTTATTTTGTTCAGTAATCTTTATTAGGGTTTCACACTGTGAAACTTTTGTTAAACACTATTGTTTTTTGGTCGGAATAATATTATGTTCCGTTTCGATTTGCTTATTTCGCAGAAACTGCTCATTAAGCCACTCGGTCTGCAAATGTGTCATTTTTATAAACACTTTATTAGTTTTCTAAAGTTCTGATCAGCTGTAAATAAATATTAAAAATATATTTATCTAAATTTTCTCCATTTGGCAATACAGTTTGTAGCGTATAAACTAAGTAATAATCATCCGATTGACACAGAATCAACAGCATAGTATACACAATGGCATTGACTATCAAAATTATTGATACAAAATATTATTTTATCTCAATTTATCTGATATATCTGGATAGCCCTTGTAAATAAGCAGAGCAAGGCAGGAACCGATTTTCGTGCTCTGTTTTCCCGCAAATGTTATTTATCTTTTTCGGTATTTAATATTTGTATTCGAAATATTTATATACACATAGGGTTGATATACAAGATCTTCCGAGAAATACGTCATTTCAAAAGAATAAAATATTGTTGTTGTTGTTTATTACAGATTTAACATCCAATAAATGAATATGATATTATGGACAGGTTGATTTAATTAAATTATTTACACTTGTAAATTGTAAAAAACACAAAATAGGTCCTTGGATACCAAATGTTCCTTAAAGCAAACTTATAAACTCGCTGTCGTGAGAAGAGAGGGCGGGTCATTTTCTCCCTTTGTCATAATAAAGTTAAAACAGGAGGTCCAACTGACTGATGTTTGGCGTCATCAGAGCGGATAGAAAAAAAAACCTGCGGGGTAAAAGAATCTGCAGGCTTTATGTGGAAAAGCGAAGTGCTCACAGTAAAAAACACATAGCTAGACCCATAGATTATTTACGTATTAAAAGTGTTTGTCTAATAAGTTCCATATTGTTATAAATTAATTAAACATGCATTATGCAAGAGCAAAATCTGCCTATTACAAGTCTTTCTTTAGGCCTGAAATGTTATCTAAATTATCAATTAGACATTAATTAACTTATCCAGACCATAATAAACTCTCGATGTCAAGGCTAGCCTTCGATGTTGGCTGGATTAGATTCCTATATGCCGCTAACGGCCGTTGATAATTAAATCAACAAAAGTGGATAATCGAGACTAAGCTGTTTATATTAATGATTTTAGTAATGATGACCGAGACTATGCCAAAATTTCACCCGCTTCTTTCTCGGCTCATAGTGGATCAATTTGACTGAAATTTTCAGCAAATTACCTTTACACTATCTAGTTTTTAACTATTATAGCGAGAACTGCATCTCGTTATCTTATCTCCCATAATGTATCTTTAAGAGTTCAAGTTGTAGGCATTCCATTAGAGTTTTCCTTGCGTACGGCTCTCCACAGATAAAAGTTACCTGAAAAGAAAAAGAAGAGCCAGCAGCAACAAAGACAAATTGAACCATTTATAGGAATAAATACATTTTTAAACACAGGTTTAATTAAATTGATTGATGTGCACTGTCATTGTTAATAATGGTTGTGTAGGTCCCTATTCCTTTATTTTGTCATTATTTTTCCTTAGTATATTATTATATTAAATCATGCAGCCGGCTGAACCGCCATACTATCCTATAACGCCAAATAACAATCAATATTTTTGTTACAAAAACATTGTTAATACTAATCAAACAATCAAAAATGCTAAAATCATAACGCCAATTAACAAACAATACAAGTATACTTCATTACAAAAATATGAATAACAATTAACAAACAATACTAGTATACTTCATTGCAAAAACATTAGTGAACAACAATAACAAAACATACTAAAATCATAATGCCGATCTAACATCAAATCAATGATGATACAATAATCAAACAATACGATTAACTTTATTGCAAAAACATTGGTGATTCGATCTGAAATCAAATAACATCGGTGATTCGATCTGAAATAAAATAAAATCGGTGATTATATCTGAAATCAGTCAACGAGTACTAGCTATTTCTTCCATACGATTAAATTGTGTACAAGTCTTATTCTTAGTTGTGGACGACATCACCAATGCCTTGTGGATGACTCCATCAATGGGTGTGGACAACTTCACTGTGGACGACTTTGCTTGGGAACGACTTGACTGGCACCTATTGTTTTGATTGACTTTAGATTGATACACAGAGTTTAAGGTCTTGAGACGAACAAGTATATTGATTTTCAATGGTTTTTGATAATTTGAACAGCTAAATCCATGATATTAAATGTTTTGTATATTAAACGTTAGCAAGGGCCAACCAATTTCTAATGATTTTATGATAATTACTTTATGAGTTGTTACTCTTAATCAGATATTAGTGTATTATAAATGTTTCATTACCGACAAAAGTAAAAATATATGACTACGATTGTTGACTGCCCGAAAAATTTAGCTTCTGTGGGCGTACGTTTCGTTGCCTGGCAAGTGCAACCTATCTTTTTATCTAAGGATTCTCTAATTTCTTTTAATATTTAGTTTGTAGATCTACATAAATTCTGTTCTGCAAGTATATCAATGGTCATGAGGATGCCAAAAAGTATCTACTTTAAGTTAGTTAATCAAGTGAACTCATTAAAGCCCTCTGTACGAGATGTCAGAGATATTATCAGTGAATATCCTGGGTAAGTAGTAAATATAATGCTACAAATACATGTATTGTGTCTTCACTCATTATTCTTGCGCATGAACAGGTTAGCCATTACTTTGAAATAGCACAATAAATTATATATTTATAGTTATCAGAAGAGATTGATTCTTATTATATTCTGTGGGCTTGATCACCAGTAATGTTTTGATATAAAGTACTGTAATCAGCTGGCAAATATTCAAAAAGGTCGGCTCTGGTATGCCTTATAATATTCGATAATTTCCACTTTTTCATACATGTAACACTTTTTTTAGGAATTTGTTGTTCTTTGCAATTGTTCCTGTTAGCGCCTTGATGGCAATCTGATTTGTTTTATGAGCTGTGTTTTCTGTAAGCATTTCAAAGACAGTTGTCCGCGTATATGATAAGGAAATTTATCTGATCTGGAGTTAATTGAATGGGTTTTTTTTAAAAAAAAAAAAGTGATCTGAAAATTGATTAGCTGTTCCTGTGGAATGGTTAGCAATAGTGATGTCCCGTTTATCGATTTCACCATCGGTAATTGGCCAATAAGTAGCCTATCGGTAGAAATCAGCATATCTGGTAAATAACTTTAAAATATCATTCGAATTGTGAACAAACCATTTTCTCTTGCTTGGCACTCAGCTCTTTTATTTCAGTTGCCACGCATGTGATTAGTTTTAGACATAAGACTAAGACAAGATTTGACTCCGTCAACGGCATCAACGTTCAGATACAGACCATATTTTCAACTCTATTACTCACTAATAATTTCTTTGAAGACCAAATGTTGTTATGTGAGACTGTGAGAGGATATCTGACATTTCAAAAAAGTAACTGAATGTCACTAGATAAGAGAACATGAGAAAAATAGAAATAGTCTGTATATTCCTTTGTTTTTATTTTTTCTATACTTAATAAAAACATGGTAATGCACAAACATTTTCTAATTTTTTCATTTTCTCTTGTCTATTGACAGTCAATTTCTTATTTGAATTGTCAGATATTTTCTCACAGTCTGACACAACAACTTTTGGTCTTCGAAGAAATTATTAGTGAGAAGAAATTCGCCTCTGGTCCTGGTATCACTCGTCACTTCAGTCAGTTACATAGAAGGATAACTTGTGTTTTCCTTTTGCGTTCGTCACTTCAGTTTGTTGAAACCCTTCATTATTCATCTATTGTAGCAACGATCTCTGTGATAAAATTATATTTGGAACGGGTTTAACCAGTTCTATCACATGTGATAATGATTGACACCAATATTGTCCTTTAAATCAACAGAATAATGAAAAACTAGCTGACCTAAGTTACCTTCTAGTTCATGACAATCTTACAGATATCATACCTAATAGGTTTATAAAGAATTATTACAATGAAATGGAAAATGAACACTCGCATTGGAATATCAACAAAGTACGTGGGGGATCTGACAATTGACAATGAGCGCTACCCCTATTCAATTGTTGATGTGCACTGTGATTTTTTACATCAGGAAAACATCAAATATAACCATAAATAGACAAGTACAATCATAAACTGACACTTTCATTGTATTCCTGACTACCTGAGCTTCAAATTGATGTACAATTTATATAATAACAATTAATTTTAATTACCTCAAGTGTGAGTAAGAACAGGAAAAATTTATAAGGCATTTATTCTTTAAATTGTATGGCAAAACGAGTGATTCCTTCTGCATAACTTTAGTCAATCAAATTACTGGATAACCAAAGAATATGACTATGACAAATAAATCATAACAATGGGGATTCTAATCTACATCACCTTGATTACATAATAAAATGTATAATGGTGGACATATTTATGCACAGTTTGAAATACCCCAAGAATCAATAAACACAATTACCCTGTACCTTACAGCGATCCTTCTTCGATCTGTTTCCAATGTGTGCTGATATTACAAGATCACAAACTAAAACAATACCTAATTAGGCTATTGAATTTTGTATTTAAATTGTTTCTGATAAGTAATAACAAATTTATTAACTATAAAATAAACAATGGTGCTCACAATAGTTATTTGTCTAACATGATTCACGATAATAACAATATCAACAATGGCTCATCATTGCATACCAGGCTGGTATGAAGCGTTGCAAGTCTTACATTTGGCCTTACTTTGATCACTGTCGCTTATCGTGAAATAGTTCCAAATCTTTCTAATTCACGTCATTTTTTTATACGCCCAAAGGGTCCGTCCGCCGGTTCGATTTCTTGTGAACGCTCTAACAGCAAAAGTTCTCATATATGTTGTTTTCATTAGTGAGACGAAGAAGCCAATTTAATGTCAATAATTTCCATTTATTACGTCTAGAGTTATGGCCCTTGTTTCACTTTGTTGACCCTTGTAAACGCTCTAACGCCAAAAGTTATCATGTGATCTTTGTGAAATTTATATAAAGTATTAATTATTGTTTATTGTTACCAAGTAATCTCTAGTATATTAGAGGAAAGATTGTAGATGATAGGCAGTTAACGACAGGCAGGTAGGAGGACATACTGAAGGGCAGGTTTCTGATAAGTTATTTCTTAGATGCTGTTCCTGCATATCAGAACGTAACTTCCTGAATTATGGCCCCTGATTGTACGAAAAATCGCATTTTTAGCTTGTGGACCCTATAGAGGTCATAATTTTTATCCGATTTATAAAAACGTATTATTATATCACCGTTAAACCCTAAGGACGGCTGAGTTCGAATTTCGTGAAAATCGGCCCAAAACTGACAGACAAAATGGCTGCCGTTCGATCTCAAATAGCGTAAAAATATGGTATATCAAGGTTGTGGACCCTTTAGGAGTCACGATTTGTATACGCCCACATTTTCATGTGGACGTATATTGTCGCCTCCCCTGTCCGTCCGGACGTCCACAATTTGTTTGTGGACACTCTACAGGTCACAATTCTTATCTGATTTTGACAGAACTTGAAATATAGGTTTATCTCCAAACGATCTCAGCTGCTTTCGATATTGGCATGTATTGGATCAAAACTTCATGGATTATGGCCCCTGTTTGTACAAAAAATCACGTTTTTAGCTTGTGGACATTAAAGAGGTCACAATTTTTATCCGATTTTGTTGAAACTTGAAATGTAAGTTGATAACCCAAAGATCTCGGTTCCTTTCGATATTCGCGCATATCGGATCGTAGCTTCCTGAATTATGGCCCCTGATTGTACGAAAAATCGTGTTTTTAGCTTGTGGACCCTATAGAGGTCATAATTTTTATCTGATTTAAAAAAACGTATTATTGTATCACCGTTACACCCTAAGGATGGCTGAGTTCGAAATTCGTGAAAATCGGCCCAAAATTGACAGACAAAATGGCCGCCTTTCGTTCTCAAATAGCTTAAAAATATGGTATATCAAGGTTGTGGACCCTATAGAGGTCACAATTTTTATCCGATTTTGTTGAAACTTGAAATATAAGTTTATAACCCAAAGATCTCGGTTCCTTTCGATATTCGCGCATATCGGACCGTAACTTCCTGAATTATGGCCCCTGATTGTACGAAAAATCGCTTTTTTAGCTTGTGGACCCTATAGAGGTCATAATTTTTATTCGATTTAAAAAAAACATATTATTATATCACCGTTACACCCTAAGGACGGCTGAGTTCGAATTTCGTGAAAATCGACCAAAAACTGACAGACAAAATGGCTGCCGTTCGTTCTCAAACAGCTTAAAATATGGTATATCAATGTTGTGGACCCTATAGAGGTCACAATTTTTATCCGATTTTGTTGAAACTTGAAATGTAAGTTTATAAACCAAAGATCTCGGTTCCTTTCAATATTCGTGCATATTGGACCGTAACTTCCTGAATTATGGCACCTGATTGTACGAAAAATTGCGTTTTTAGCTTGTGGACCCTATAGAGGTCATAATTTTTATCAGATTTAAAAAAACGTATTATTATATCACTGTTACACCTTAAGGACGGCTTAGTTCGAATTTCGTGAAATCTGCCCAAAACTGACAGACAAAATGGCCACCCTTCGTTCTCAAATAGCGTAAAAATATGGTATATTAAGGTTGTGGATTTCTTGTGTGGGGCATTATATTAATATATTATATATTGTACAATTACATAACTTAATAATTCCGATTAGTCACTAGAACTTATGGTTTTTAAGCTTTTAACGTTATTTTATCTGGATTATCGCCCTTATTATTGTGATTTTTTTATCACCTTCTTAGATATGACGTCATTCTCAGTCAGCAGACGGCTGTCCCTAGAGATAGTCTACATTTCCTACTTGCTTCTTTGTATTCAGTTTTGTTTTTGTGTGTTTTTTGTGACGATGGAACATGTACCCTATATGTATTGAATACTGAAGCGTTTCTTTATTGAATTTAGAGTTTAGACTACTTTTTTATACATTTCACCGATGTGGTTACTTGTATAGTTGAATTTTACTACATATGCTTACATTCGTATTTTGTGTAGCATATAGCAGATCATGACTCATGCTGGCATTACACAATGGGTTCTTTGGGTTGTATTCCTAATTTTCGATATAAGAGTAGGCCGTAGTGCCGCTGTCCGGGCAAAATTTCCCTCATAGCACACTGTATGGCGTATGCCCGTCTTCATTAGCCCAGTTCGGAGCAAAACAGTAGGACTTTAAACCCCATTTCATTTCATTTTTGTATTCCTAATTGTTTTCAAATTTGAGTGAAGTCTGTATCACTACAGACCCGGCACTGTACAGCGCAGTGGACGCTTACGGCTAGCCCCCGGATCCATTCACTTTTTTTTTAATTGTATGTTTGTGTTTCCCTGAGTATGATGTCCTGTCCGTGTATTTGTTTTTGTGTAAATTTTGTGTGGTCAGTCTAAGGATGTAAACGGTCACTCGGTTAACCGGTCACACTGTTGAACCGGTTCAAAAAATTACTATTCTGTATTCGTTTTCATAGGATACCTGACCTTCAAACCCAGGAATGATAGCCACAATATTGTTTTCTTTCACTAATACCACATAA